GGCGGGGGGGGGGGGGGGGGGGGGGGCAAGAGGAGTCAAAGAAAGAAAGAAAAAAAAAAGGGAGCACAAGGACAGCAACTAGAGGATTTTGTGTCCCCTGGGGTGATTGCAAGGCAGAGGATTTTAAAAGCTCTGGGTTTTGTCAGACATCCAGATTGTAGCTGTATCGGTTTAGAGGCAAAAGGAAGCAGAACTCATGGTCGAGGTGATGTCTCTTATCAGACCAACTAGATGTTTGCAATAAAATAAAATTTAAAGATTTTTTTTTTTGGCAAACATCTAGTTAGTCTAATAAAAGATATCGTCTCTACCATGAGTTATGATTTCTGGGTTTTGTAACACTCCTTTTTTTCCCCCTCAATAACTCAGTCCCATCCCCCGCTCTCCCCCACTTCTCCCTTTATTTCAGTTGTCACAACCTGACATTTTTTTGCAGCCACAGCCAGACCTGCCAAGCGTCCCTCACTGGAGTCACTCGCCTGGATTTTTAGGCGGCTGTGGAAGAAAGCTTCCCTGCTCTAGGCTGGAGGATTGCTTATAATTATTGTTATTTATTGTTGTTATTTAATATTTCAATGGCAGATCCAGTTTGCCTGGAGAAACCGTTGCCTGCTCCCTATCTCCCTCAACTTGTCAGAGCTTGTGAGCTCTCCAGTCTGGTAGGGACATGGTATTGCCCATGTTTTCCGTCCCCCAACCTTTCATAACACTTCTGAATGATAACTGTGGAAACTACTTGTATTTTCAAGCCATGAAAAGTTCTCATGGGTTAGTTGTGATTCACCACTTTTTTCCTTTTTTTTTCTTTCAACTTTGCAACTTTGGTAATGTAAATTTTATATGCAGCAATATAAAAGACAAGTAGCCAGATTCGCGTACCTGCAGCACTGCTAAACAGTGGGGACCATGGAAGGGGTGGGAGTAGTGTCACACTTTTTAACTCCATGGAAAATGAATTGTTGCTTTTTGCAAAAACAGTGGCAAATATTGGACTGTTTTTTTAAAGCAACCTTTCCTAAATACGGAATGGAAAGCATGTATTTTCTATCCCGTTTTATTTGGATTCTTTTGACTTCAATTTGAAAAAAAATGCCCATGCTTTTTTTTTCATTTTAAATTTATAATTCTTAATGAATGTGCAGAATCTTGATTTAAGCTGAAATTTCCTTTGAAAAAAATTTTTGCTGTAAGAAGTGACATGACATTTAAAGTTCTAAATGGCTCCATAACCAAGATTCAAAACTGAGTTTGAAATAGTTTTCTATTACTTAAGCATTAAATATTTTATTCAATGCCTTGTAAATGCACAGAAAACAGCATAAACTGCATCAAAATAAGGTACTATTTTATCTGGTGGGCTATTTTCATTCTTGAAAAGAAATGCTGAAAGCAACAGAAACCAGTATTCCCCTCCCCCCCATTTCTTATGATATTTCTTTAAGGTTAATTCAGTCATTAATATGTCTTTCATGTAGTCATGATATACATTTCAGCCAAAGTAAAATACAAATGCGGTTTATGGTTTTCAATCAGTGCTGCTTGCCGTAAATAAGTATGGACAGGTAAGAGTAACAAACACTGCGGACTGTATTGTCAAGTGGAGCTGTGAGGCCTTTTGAAGTATTCTGAGCAGGAAGCAGTGCAGCCTTTTTAATTAGAACATATACAGCTGGAGGATATACAGGAGGACTCTCCTCAGAATTTCTTTTCAAGAAGGGAGGGACATATCCTTCAGGTGCTGTTAATGTCTGTTTACACAGCATGAAAGCTGGGTAAAATTTAAAAAAAGCAAAATAGCCCTTTCCCCTAAGATATCAAAATGGAAATTTTCCTCTGTTTACAACCAGTGGGAGTTTTGTCTTTGAATTCAATAAAGCCAGCATTTCATCCCCCCCACCCCGCCAAAAAAAATTATTATGGGACTGATTTCATTCTCCTGAAATAATGAGAAGGATCATATCCTAGATAATTAGGATTGCTGAGGAATATTTCTTATATAAAAGGAGCCTCAACAGAAATGAAATCACAACCTTGCTCCTGCCTTTCTTGGACATCCTGAACTACTGCTGATTTCACAAATATTTGTTATTTATAGTGTAATAATCAGGTCTCACATAAGTTACATAAGTGTAACTGTGGAGTATCTCTAGTATTCTAGATTTGCATGAATATGAAAGCCAACTTAATATTTTTCTAACTAAATCCTACTTTGATTTGTTCTTAACCAGTAGTAGAATGACTTTACAATATCCTGTAATGATAAACTAGCAGGATCTTATTAAAAGGGAGACTTGGGTATGCGAGAAAAACATGATCAGACACATAGGTGCCAGAGCAAGAACCCTATACCAGTCTTCGAAATGTTATAACTGAAGGCAATCAATGTTTGTTCTGACCTTGGTTGTTTGGAGTTAGTTTGCAGTTTTCAAGTTTTTCATGACTGATTGTTACGGTATCTGAATCAGTTATTCTGTTTATTAATGAAAAGGCATGATCAGAGTTTTACTCATTAGTCTTTATAATGAAAATGAAGGGACTAACTTGAGAAGTTTCTTAATTGTGTTTAAGCAAGCAGCAGTAGCATTACTAATAGAAATAGTTTATGTGATGTCAAAGTGTCTATAGAGATAGAAGAAAATGACAGGTATATTAATGGGTTATTCTGCTACCTACTGATGAAAATCTCTGTGTGTAAGATCTGGATACTATTATTAATGAGGCATTTGTGTGTTTTAGGAAATACACTTCATTATTTTCTAGCTGTTACTTTGAAAACTGAGGGAGAAAATGTTTTTAGATAACATACTTTTGAAATTCTTGAAATACAGCACAATATGTGCTAGTTTTATGCTACATATTTATTTTACATCATTTTAAAAGTGCTCAATCCATGCTTATTGACCAAAATTAATGTAATCCTTTGATTCTATCATCAAGATAATCAATACAGTAATTCCCATGAATGAACTTTAAAAAGGACTAAACAAGTTGTATGTAACACTGATTTGTGGATACCATATTTGGTTTCTGTAACATCACTGAAAGTTATCACATTTGATTTATATCCAATAAACAGATGTATTTTTTAAAAGCCACTACATTTCCGTACTCTCTTGCAAATTTGTACTGTAACAGTAAGTCAGATGTGCAGTTAGATTTCAGACAGAAAGTCTGTTTCCCAGCAGCATGTCCACAATAGGTTTCTTTCTTGATTTTTGGATAGCATCAGCTTTTATCTCTTTCTCAAATCATCTCTTATCGATTACTGTACAGAAATGAATTCTATTTTTGCACTTCTCTGCTGTATTCTGTTGGTTTCAACAATATTTTTCTTGTGCATGAGTCATACTTTGGCTTTGAAAGTATATACATGGTATATGTTTCATTAAATAGGTATGAAATATATTCCTAAACAATTTCAATACCACACAAGCAACAAAAATTGAGATGAATTATTGTTTAATTTTCTATGACTGCTTTCTCAATCTATTGCCTACTAAGTTCATGTGCCAAAATAGTTAAAATCTGTCAAGCATCATTTAACAATTTGAGATAATTTTATAAAGTATTTTATATGTAATTTTTAAAACATAACTAATGGTATCATATAACCATTATAAAGTGAATTCGGATCTTTGAAATCCAAAATAGGTGTGTATAATTTACTATCATTATTCACAGCAGTCAAATCTATTTTAAGATGATATAGTTTGAGTATATTTCCTTCCATATCAGAGGAAAACCAGGGTTGTATTTTTTTCAAGTATTTTAGAATGTTTTGAAGTTCCTTTGATGCCCTTAGATCACTTTGTTGAATGGCAAAAGGTTTTTACTAAACCGTTAGGTTATTTTAATTTACAAGGGTTTATGTTGGCCAGCATGCATCTTGTTGGTTTTTTTTTCCTGTGGAACAAGGCAATAATGCTATATGAGCCCAAATCAAAGTAGAGTAAGTGAACATATTTCAACATTCTGAGAGTTTGGCTAAAACTGAATGTCTGAAATTTACACCTAGGAAACCAAATTGGAAGAACTCACATGTTTTTGATCTGCTAATTTTCTGAGAAACAAAATTTAAGAATCCAGCAAATGCACTGAAAAAAGGTGGAATTTAATTGTTGAAAAATTGGTAGGTAATAGGCCTAATAATTTGCATGGGGCCATAAATTGCCCCACTGAACAATAACATTCATAGGATGAGAAGTTACAGTAGATCACATTTTAATGGTAATATTGCACTGAGAGGAGGATTTGGCCCTAAACAGTGAAGAGATGGTAGGGGCTTATTTGCATGAGTCCTTCTTTAAGGAAAAAATAGCCATCTGCTACTTCCTTATTCCTGTCCAGCATTATTTCTGAATTACTGTGTGGACAGATCTATTTTACACTTTACATTGCAGTGTGGTCATTTACAAAGAAGATGATTTATCATGCCAACTGTATTGTGTTCTGAGGTACCACTTTGGATTTGCAGCTTTCAGTCTGAGACAATGACAAAGAGAAGCAGTGAGTTTCCAGATTTTTAGGTGCTACGCAAACAGCACTGTTTTACAGTAATTGCTCTGCTGCATGAGTGACTGTGCAGTTACTGGGTATGGCTGGAGTCTCTCAGAAAGTCTGCAAAAGCCCTGCTTCCTACTTTTGCTGATCCTGAACAAGGGACAGAAGGGTCTAGAGTTGAGGTAGAGAAAAAAGAGACCACGAATAGTATGGAACACTACAAGTGTCTTGTTTTTAATGGAATTTCCAGTGTTTCTGATCTTCTGCCACCAAAATAAAAAATCACAACTAAAGCTGATGTAAGGCCTTTTAAATTTGGTTCATAAACCCTACTACCATTGTCTCAGCTTTCAAACCAGGTTTTAGAGTTATTTATGGCAGGAGGAGGGTTAAGATGTTGAAACAGAGTAATTCCTCCCATTTATGCTGCAATTACCCCATAAGGACATGAGAGAGTAGCTGCCGCTTACTTACCTGCAGCTTTGGCTCCTGCTCCAGTGCTGCTTCCTTTCCAAGCTGTTTTGTGGGCCCATTCCCAAACAGAACCTTAGAATATGGCCTGGGATGTCTCTAGCCCATGCAGTCATATGGACTACTCCAAGGCCTGTTCCAGCACCCAGTTTTGGGGTACATTCCTGAACACTTAAACCTTTGCTGTTAAGGAATTCACCAGCACCATCCCTGACTCCTTTGCTTTAATCTGAAAATCAGATTGTCCTTGTGGAGAAGCCTGTCATGCAGGGTTAGCTGCCTGGGGCAGAGGTAAGCACCTAATCAAACGAGTCATATGAAGGGCTGGTGAGTGGGATGTTGCTAGTTTTGTGGCTGCTAACCTTTGACTTGTAGTGAGCGCCCCTGAAGTGTTCAGTGTGCTACCACAGCGGGACAACTGTCTACATGATCCCCACCTTGTGATGCTTGTCCTAAACCAAGCTATTTTCAAGGTATATTCCCTGGTAAATTCATACCAAGGGTTAAGTGGAACCCTCATGTTTCTGTAGTTCACATAGCAGCACATTGGACTGCCATTTCTAAGGCATTTGGCTAAGCTGGTTGAGTAGTTCAGGAAGTCGTACTGGCTACGTGGAATGAAAGGTTGAACACCAATCAGGGGCATGTCAACCTGCCTCAAGTTGCTTCAGATGCCCAGCTGATAAATGCAAAGTAAGCAGCTTGGAAGGGCTGGAGAGGTATGGAAAGGACAATTATATAGGACAACCAAAACACAATCTCAGCAACCCAGTCTTTAGCTGCATTCTCACTGCAAAACTTGACTTAAAACTTGGGCTTTAACCCTTGCCATTCAAGTGAGTATGGATTCAAAGCAATATAAGCCTCCTGGACTTAAGCCTGTATTTGTTTGAGGATGCTCAGGGGGCTGAGCTAAAATATTGATCAGAACCAAAGTAAGCCTATAGTGAAGTCATACTTTTAACTGATTCTTAAGTCATCTCTTGAAAGGTAAATTGGGGCATATGGAGAAATAAGTCAATGTGGTTTTGCATGTCTCCAGAGTCAGGAAAAAATATTTGTGTAATTCAGTGCCCCTTATTGTGGAAATGCCTTCTCCTTACCTGCTCAACAGTCAGTTTCTCATTCTTCATTGTCTCCCTTAATTCAATAGGACATGTGCTTGAAGAAATAATGTTTTTTTTTCACTCCTTATTTCAAGGAATTCAAAGGGACCTGGGGCTCATGCAGTGATAAATATCATCCTAAGCTGGCACATTTAGATTCATCACTTGCTGCATGGTATTATCATAATTTATTTTATGATTATTGTTTCAATAGGTTCCAACAGCCAGTGTGACCATCGAAGGAGCTTCTGCCCTCAATCGTGTCCGTTGGGCGCAAGCTGGGAAAGAGGTAGCAGTTGGTGATTCAGAAGGCCGCATCTGGATCTATGATGTTGGAGAGGTACCTGTACTTTCTTTTCTAAATACTTGGTTGCTGGAAAGTACTGTGCTAATAATACTGAATGTTGGACTATGCCATGTGTTTATGTGCATGGGGAAAGATTTTTTTTTGTATCCGTATTGATTTGCTGTAGCACCCTATCATGTAAAGAACCTGTCTGTTTTCTTGATACCATTGTCTGGCTATGTACTATGGCACCAATAACAGAAAATTGAGAGGCAGCGATTTAGGAGAGAAGGGTAGCAGACCTGCACGTGTGGAAAGGAATATATGTAGGTGGTGAGAAATAGCAGGATGAGTATTCTGTGTTTAAAAGCTGATCTCAATTCCCCCACTACAGACTATAAAAAACCATCTAAGCTACAGCGTGTCGTGTGCTGATGGAGTCAGCCTCTTTGTTGATGAATACAGTATAAAACATTCAGTCTGCATTACAATTCCTTGGAATAGTCAAGGGTGAATCTCTGAGCAATCAGCTTTTATGTAGAGAATTTGTTTTCCATCATTATCTGTGATAGGATACCAGGATATCCATCTCTACACAGTAGGGAAACATTATAGAAAACATACAGAATTGTCTGTAACTCACATAAAGTGATTTTATGGCCCATAGCAAAATTGCTTGAGCATGACTCATATTTTTGGATTGCATTTGCTTTTTTTCAGGAGTTGCCTTTCCTTTACAAATGTTTGCAAAACTTCTTACTATATTTTTATCATAATTTCTAAATTGTTTAAGGCTATTACACTCAACTTTTCACTGAAGCACTGGCAGGTCAGGCTGTTTTTATTTATGTATTTACTTTTGCATTATATCTCTGAAATGGTGATTTTTTTGTCTTCCAAGTGATATGACAGGCTATCTGCAGTGACAACGTAGTCTGGTCACATTTATTGTCTGGAATCTAGACAGGCTATAGAGAAGACTCTTTGACATACCATACACCAAATAATTCATAAGATCGTTTATTTCTACAACCATGAGCAAATGGATTTAATATTTATCCATTTTCCTCAGAAACACATACTAATATTTCTGGTTCAGAAAAAAAAGCCATTGGTTTTCATCTGCTTGAGTCCGGTTTGTTGTTGTATAATGCAAACTGCAGCACTGCCCCTGCATTCTGCTCTGCAACGTGCAGAACCCCAGCAGATTTCCACAGAGCTGCTGAAAAAATAGGCCCCAAGAGCCTCCTTCTCCCACACAACTCCTCCATTGTATATTTTTAATAAGGGAGATGACACATTCTCTCTTTTTTGCCTTGCTTTCTATGGTAATTTAAAAAAAATCATGGCTATACATTTCCTTGTAATAATTCCTGTTCTAGGCAAAGGATACTTGGAGACTAATTAGGCTTGGAGCAGTGTGAGGTTCCTTCATTTCTGCTACCTTACTGAATGCTCATTTCTGATTACTAAGGGTGCTACAACTTAGTTGTTTCCTACTGTGACAGCCCTCACTGTTGTGCATCTCTGTTGTAGCTTATGTAAGATTCAGAAATGCACTACCCTGGCTAGTAAGGATGGTCTTGAGATAGAAAGCCAGCTTAAATCACTAGTGAGGATAGTTCTGAGCTAGAAAGCCATTATAGTGAATAGAAGCAGCTTAATTTAGTAATCCACCATGTTATTTCATGAAGTGTCCTCTTAAAAGTAATTCAGACAGAGGTATCCTTTAGACCTTGATCTAATTCCCATTGTAATCAGTGAAAAGATCATAAATAATTTGGATGATAGGATTAATAGCATGCTCAGCAAATTTGTAGATGACACCAAGTTGGGTAGAGTTGCAAATGCTCTGGAGAGCAGGGCTAGAATCCAGAATGACCTGGATAGACTGGCAAAATGGTCTACAATCAATCAGATGAGATGCAGCGAGGACAAGACCCAAGTCCTGCTCTTGGAATGAAATAATTGTATTCACAAATACAGACTACCTAGGCTGCAGTGCTGCAGAGAAGGACCTGGGCTAGACTGAATATAAGCAAACAGTGTACTCTGGTCGCGAAAAAAAGCCAATGGTACACTGTATTGTATTAACCAGAGGGTCACTTGCAAATCAAGGAAAGTGATTCTTCCTCTCTATTTGGCACTGGTCAGGCCTCACCTAGAGTACTCTGCCCAGTTTTGGGCCTCACGCTTCAAGAAGTATGTGGATGGATTGGAAAGAGGCTAGTGCAGAGCAACAAAAATGATTAAGGTCCTGGGATATAAGTCATATGAGGAAAGGCTGAAAGAACTAGCGTTATTTAGTCTGAAGAAGAGAAGACAAAGAGGGGATTTGATGACAGTGTTCAAATACTTGAAGGGTGATTATAGAGAAGAAGGGGGAAAGTTTTTCTCTGTGGCTGTATAGGACAGGACTAGGGGCAATGGCATCAAGTTGCAACAAGGGAAATTTAAACTGGAGATGAAGAGGAACTTTCTGACTAGGAGGGTGCTCAGGCTTTGGAACAGGCTACCTAGAGGAAGTGTGGAATCTCCATTCTTGGAAGTTTTAAAGAGCAGGTTAGATAGACACTTGACTGGGGTGGTTTAGTCAGGGATGATCCTGCCTTGTGTAGACAGCTGGACTATTTGACCTGGTGATGTTCGTTCCAGCCCTGCTTTCCTCTGATTCTAAAATTGTGAGATGAGGTAGTGAGGTTCATGTTCTCATCTTGTTTGCCCTTCACTAGATGATCCCTCCCTTCCTTCCTCACCCTGCTACACAGAGCGTAGGAGTATGTATAACCTCTAGGCCACCTAAACTTTTCTGTAGTGCACCCTGTGCAGGGAGAAAAAATGGCAATAGCTCAGCATTCTGGGGAAATGTTAAAAAGAACATTACAGTTGTAGTGGAACCCACTGTGTATAATGTACTCCCTAGCCTTTTCTTCCTTTTCTCTTATGGTCCCCAGAAAGATAATATCAATATTTATACCATACTTAGCTTGGAGGCATCTGTGCAAAGTTACAGTGGGGCTTCAGCATGCAGTGTTATAATCAGTGGGAGGTTTGCTGTTCAGTTGAATGAGAGCAGGAGCTTAATCAAGAACATTTTCCCAATTCCAAGAGTAACATGCTGCTGCCTCTTTCCAGAAGAATATGGCCATGGACAAGAGGATCCTCAATCCTTAGTCCCCTGATCTTAATGGGGAACCTCCCCCCTGATTAGTTCTCAGTCATGATGACTGATTTTTAGGCCACACGACTCTTTCCTTCTCTTCTGTGGATGCCTTTTGAAACAGAGCTATCAGCAGAGAACAGGATCCTTTTTTGGCTAGGGTGTCTTTAAAAGTTATCTCTTATTGACTGAAAATCATAGGAGCATCCCATAGCTCTTTTTGAATTGGAAGGAATCCTGGTGATTACAGCGCTTGGAAGATCAGCAGGCTGTTTTGCAAGAGCATAAGTGCATATTTTTAGCATTTACTGGGTGCCTCTACACAAGGTGTTTACTATGCAATAAACATCTCAGCATCTACATGTGCACCCCTATTAGGGTGCACAAAACTAATAAACTCTGCAGCAGGGTAGTTTTGCCAAGTATTACCCTGCTGCAGAGTTTTTTTGAGTAGCAGATGTGTAGCTGCTGACCTGGCTGGCTGGGCACAAAGGTTCTTCAGTGCAGAGGATGCTTGCCAGCTAGCCCCTCCACAGCACATTGAGTCTGGTTGGAACAGCCTCAGGCTGGCAGGCCGACCCTGGGACCTCCTGCCAGCCAGGGCTGCTACAACATAGCTCCGTGTGCTGTGGTCCAGGCACGTGTATAAATGTGGCTCCATGTGCTGCTGTCCAGGTGCTCCCAGGAGCCTCCCAGGCACAATAAACTGTGGAGCAATAAGCTCTGCAGTATATTGCTGTACCCAATGGCACATGTAGTCATATTCATGTAGTATTATATTTGTTAATATAGTCACCAAAATGTTGCTAAATGTTGTTTCTATTAAAAAACATGAAAATGAAATATGAATATATGTTTGGTTAAATAAGAAAGCACAATGATTTTTAAAAACATTATATTTCTTAAAATCCTAAAAATCAGGTTTTTTTACATACCGGAAAATAACCTGGGAGACTCTATTTATGTAAACTTTAAACAGATCAGCAAATCAGATAACTAAGGAAAAAATTGAAGTGGTGAGATCCATGTGTTAGTTTCATTGCTAGTTGTTACTGTTTGCTAGGAGAGATAATCAATGTAATTCCACCATTTATATATTCATCCACAAGGTATAAAAAGGGACCTTAAAAGTGGCCTATATTAAGGGCCCAATCCTATGTTCTTCACTGACTCATAAGCCTCTTTGAGAACATGGACATTTGGCCTGAGGTAAAGACTTCGGGATCAGGTCCTTTTTGTTTTGAGAAGTCATCCCTCTGTTGTCTTTATGACAACACAGGTGACAGTTCATCGTAAGTATGAAATGTGACAAAGTCCATGACCAGTGAGTTAAAAATAATGTTGGTATTTTCAGTTAGGTCATATAATGTTATTTTTTTACAGTACGCTCTTTTAGTTGTTTGATTTCAGCATCATGTCTGAACATAACTGAACACATTTATTTTCACAGTGAGGGGTCTATTTTCTCTTTGATGCTTTTGCTTTACACCCATTAGCATTAATGGGAGTTACACACACACTTCCAGTGGAGAATAGACTTAAATAATCCATATATATGTACTCATGTGGGACAATTTGAGAAAGCAACTTGTAGATCAGTAACTGATGACTTTAAAAAATTGAAATAAGCTGGTTGTTTCAGGATGACATGATCGTAAATATATTTACTTTAATCAGAGAATATAACCAGTCACTGTAAGTGAAAGTTAGCTTCTGGGGCTAAGTACAGACATTCAAAAAGCCCAAGTCTGAATTGATTCAATGTTTGCAGGTTAGTCTAACCTGTATAGATTGAACTAACAAGCAAGTGAATAGACATTCACTTTTGATTTTGGAAATGCAGCCACATGCCTGCAGTGGCTCAGGCTAGAAGCTGTGGGGCACTAGAGTGAAC